CAGGCCGTGCTGGTGGGGGGACCAGGCGATAGCCTTCACTGCCGCCAAATGCTCAGTGTACTGCTGCACTGGGAGGACGCTCGAGTGGTTCCACACCAGCAACTGCAAACGTCAGGAGGGCACCGATAAATACATGACGGTGTTACCTTGACCGACATCTTCTGCTCTAATTACACTCCGAAATTCTCTGTAAACCTTGTTATCATTGCCGCCAGATGCTAACAGCTGATGGTCCGTGCTCCACTTCAGTCCGCACACTTCCTGCCGGTGTCCCTGGAGCCGGCGCTCGGACTGGAGAGGCGGGGCTCTGATGTCCCGCTGCAGGATGACCCTATCGCGACTTCCGGACGATAGCTGGTCTGCGTTCCATGCCAACGCGCCTAGCACATACGTAGAAATATGAAGAGCAATAAAATGAACATCGGTACAGCTGTGACATAATCCCCAAGTCGCAACATGTCGTCGTCTCAGTAAACTACACTAACACAGCAGTAAAGCCAAAAATGACAGTAAACATTTGTATGGAAAAAAAACACTTCTGGGTCAGAAATCCAAAAGGATAAAAAAAAAAAAATCCAATCATCTCCAAACCATCCATGCCTTCTTGAGTCTGGTCTCTCAACTCACCCACTCTGGCCGTGTGTCCCTCAAGTGTAGAGAGCTTCTTCCCCGCGGCGGCATCCCAGATTTGAACGTACCCTTTATGAGTCCCCACAGCAACTAGGTTACCCTTAAATAAGAAACAAGCACAAAAGACATGAGAGAGACCAACAACATCTGCATTAAGATGACTTTTTTTTTTTTTTTTTTAAATAAAGTTTAAAAGAGGGGTGGGTCATCAACAAACTTGCTTACAACATAATGTTAACAATTAGGGGGAAAAAAAACAAACCCTACCCTTTCTGACCAGCCCACTGATGTTACAGAGTCTCCTTCCACAGAAAGGTCGCACAGACGCGTCACCTAAAAAGAGACAGACACGGGAAGAATCAAACCTCCGATAAATATGGACAGCCACATATGTAGTTTTACCCCATTTTAACACATTTAAATGTCTGCAGGCGAACAGAGAAAAACACAGACACACACACCTGGCTGGTGCAGGCGCTCCACAGGTACACACAAGTGCCCAGTCCCACACTGAGCACGTTGAGAGAGGACCAGTCCACAAGGTTGAGGTAGAAGTCATCCTGAAGCTCGGGAGCGTCGAGTACTTTAAAAGGTATTTTGGATATCTTGCGCATGGGTTTCCGTGGCGACCGGAGCAGTTTCTGGCTGCGAAACACAATGGATCGTGTCAGCGAGTATGATCCGAACCCACCTCGGCTTGAAGAAAACGAAGAGAGAGAAGGGAAAAAAAAAAAAAACACTGGAGGGAATATTTACCTGTTGCTACTGACGGGTGATAAAGAATAAGGAGAGACTGCATTTCCATCTTCTTCCAGAGACCTCTTGGTACTCAAAGAATACTAGAAGAGAAAAGCAGACCTTTATCTTAAATGTGGTTAAAAAAAAAACAAAACAATAAAAATGTAAGTCATAGGACTCGATAAAATGTTACTTTAAAAAGGCTCCTCCTTGTAGGGGTGGCTGGCTGAAGACGGCGATCTTCAGACTGGGGGTCCTGGACTTTGTCGATTCCGGCTCCGAGCAGCTCGTTCTTCAGCAGCGCCGAGTAAGCGAGACCATCCGCTGAGGGCGCACAAGTTCAAACACACTGATGAAATGAATGATTTCAAAAACCTTCACACTTTTCTCACATTTTTGCATTTATTGTACTTTATTTGTGTGCTTGTTCCTTTCAATATGTGGCTCAAATTGCATCTACGATTTTGACTCTCCTTGCCCATATGTGAGGGTATCACCGTCGCTTAATTTTCGCTAAACCTGTATTTTCTTTTCCCTTCACTCGAGCGGCAATATGAAACTCGCTAATCCAAATTTTTAAAATAACCAAGTGACGGCTCATAACTTCTAAGTTGCTGCACTCTTAAGGCAAAGCAGCACTATATTTCTACCCATCTACTTCAATTTTACTGAAGGTTTATTTTGAACATGCAGTTAAAAAAAAACAAAAAAAAAAAACAAAGCAATGAAAAATTTACAATGTGAATATACCAGACTGAAACAATGTGTCCTGCCAGTCTGAAAAGAAGCAGGAACAAGTGGACGGCTCTACCTTTGTTACTGTCTGCTGTTCCATCTTTGGTTTTCCTGTTTTGATTGTGTGACTTTTCAATTTCCTACGCCGGAACAACAAAAACACGTTAGCTCCATCAACCGAGACCTCACACTCGATTTGGCACAGCATTAAGCATCAGCTCAGGGAATCACTTTGACACTGATGCAACTGACAGTTGCCTCTTTGCCCGCATTGCAGCAAACTCACATTGATGCGGTGGAAGTTGACGCTCCAGTTGGCGCCGGCCCGTGAAGGGATGAAGCGATCGCCGTGCTTGCTCGGGGAGGACAGCGGGGAGCTGACTGGCGACAGAGCTCGTAGCGCGCCAAGAGATTTCTACACAGGGGAGGAGAGCAGAGGTCATTTTATGACTCGAGTGATTTTCACGCAAGTGCTCTCTGATGATATGACCCGCCCCCTCACCTCAAAAAATAAAAAATAAAATCACTGCATAAGTACAATTTCGTTTTATTTAAGTTCAGTACATTTGCATTTAATCTTTTATGAAACGTTACAAGTCATTCCTGTGGATGTCGTGAACTTACCACTGGGCTGGCATTCGCATTGTGGATATTGAGTTGCCTTAGCAGCCTGGACTCATAGTCCTGATCCATAATGCCTGAAAAGAGGTTAACAGTAAATCCAATTGTATTATAATAAATTCATGATGGTTAGAGTTCATCATCAACGCTTCCCCACCGGCATGCCGGCAGATATCTTCAGGTGTGCCGTAGGACATGATCCAATTCCACTTAATTTGTCAATCCAATATTTATTAATTACAAACATATCTATGTCCATTTAGCTATGCCAGTAGCAGGGACAGGAAGAACGATTAAATACTCTTCCATAGATGGCAGAAGGTAAAACAGACCTGTGAGTTACCATTCATACAATAGAATGAGTTATAATAATTAATTCAACACTCACACTTTTTTTTTCCCTGATGAATTATGAAATCTCTATACATTGATAGTATAAACTAAAACAGAGGTAGGGAACTCCAGTTCCTCGAGAGCCATATCCCGCCTGTTTTAGATGTCTCTCTACTTCAGCACATCTGATTGCAAATGCTGCAATTTTTAGAAAAACAAAAAGGTGTGTCAGTAGACAAATAAACTGCCTTTGATAGTAATGGTCATGCCTTTAAGCATACTGTACACCTAACCTAAGACCAAAACATTATTGTGATATGGAGTAAATGTGTTGCTTGCGTTTGTTAAAAAAGAAAATATAATCGATTTAAAATCACAACCCCAATATGATGGGGGTGGGGGGGGGGCAATCTTAATTAAATTGTCAAAATCGTTCAGCCCTGTATCCAACACAGTAATACAGATTAATTTGTTGGTCATTTTGTTTGAAAACAATAATAATAACAGTAATAAGGAGGGCCTTGGGGGAAAATCGCATATTAAAATGCACTATTGTATAGTTATATTATTTTTCAAGGTAATTTAGCCGTCAATACCGACACAAAAATATAATCTCTGTTTTACAGATATTAGGCTTGTGCAAAAACACAGAGACGTGGTTCAAATAGCAGCTGATCTTTAGGACACGACAAAAGCGGCAGTAAACATCTGAATTTATTGTAATTTGAACCGCATGACAGACGTCAATTTTATCCTAACAATGGGAATACTGAAACAAATCTCTCCAGCGCCAATGCCAATTATAGGTAGCTGCAGCTAGCGATGCTAGCCGAAATAAGGTGTCGAGAAACTTGACCAGCACCATTATTTACAATCCGCATTTTGAATTTCCACTCACCGGTGCCGAAGAAAACTCCTTCGATCGCACGTCCGGCACTCTTTCTCCCGTGCCGATGCAAAATCTTTTGCGGATATTTTGTCTTTTTTGTGTAATCGATAAAGGTTTAAGAGAACGGGACAGCTCTTTTTATTTCGCTAAGCGCTGAAGCCAGTGTCGCTAAGGATCACGGGAAAATAAAACGTCATTGTTTTTGAATCGCGCATTTTCCGTTGCTAAGGAAACGTCGCTTTCGGGGGCACTGCTTCCTCCTGCAAAAACATTGAAAAGGTTTCGGAACTTTCACCCAGTCCTTGGGTATTTATTTAGAGTCGTAATATTACGAACAAAAATGTAGGAAACGGAAGTTACAACATTCTATAATGTATCAGCGCCATTTTGGATCCTTCCACAAAAGAAAATACAAGGGTAAATCCTACGTTGTATCCACCGTTTCTCATGTCACTATACATATCTTACATTTGCCATGATTTTCACACAATGGGTTACTGTACATTAACTTAGTACTATCAAATCTTTACAGGCTTTGCCAATAAATTTTACTTGACACCTGTCATTTGCCAGTAGCTGGCATTTGATTCTTTAGCCTTCAGTGGATTTACCGACTGCCACCTATTAATACCACCACTATTAGATCACAATTATAGAAACCATCAATACTACACAAAAACTCTCAGTAACAGCACCCAACAGTAACATGCCCCCCGAGTCGAATTTGAAAATAATAATAGTAAATGGCTAATAATCTACCTTGTGACTGTACACTAATCAAGGTACTAATTTATTATCATACCAATGGGTGTCACTTCATTCATTTCAGTAGTACTTTGCAAAAGATAAGTATGAACATCATTTAAATTGTTTTTAATGCCAAAAAAAAAAACAGCTGTAGAAATGAAACGAAGTCAACAAATAACTTTTGTGTAGAAAACAGGACACATAATGAACCCTCCTAATCACATAGATATGCATATATACTAACACATGTACCTACCATATGGCAACCTACATTTGTGTAGAAAACAGGACACATAATGAACCCTCCTTATCACATAGATATGCATATATACTAAACACATTTACCTACCATATGGCAACCTACCGAACGGTTCAATGTAATGTGGGTCAGAGCTGTAGCAACACACAAGAGAAAGTCAAGACTTGTAACTTAGGATGGTCCAACTTTACCAAAGAAATGTGAATGAAAGTGCAATAGAAAATGCAAAGTGAATTCAAGTAAATTTTTTAAACTGTTATAAAATAAACCCTCAAGACCAAATAAAGTACTGTGTGCAAAAGTGTGTCTTTAGACAAACCAAGTAGTTTAGACGAGCAAGAAAATAAACATGTACTTTTAGGAAAAAAAAAAAAAATTCTCCCCATCCCACCCCCACACACGTGTGGCTCAACTCAGCAGTTCGAATGCCATTATTATTCTGGCCTTAATTAGGATTTTTTTCCTCTTGCAATGTATCTAATGTTAATATGTTTCCAAATGTCCTGATTGAGTCTCCCAGTAGCAAATCAAATGATACCTCACTAAAAATCACATTATTTAAAATTACAGTAGAAAAACTGGGACCGAGAGCCCACTATCAGACATGATACCTAAAGGTGACAGCAAGCCAGTGGTTTAAGAGTCACACACTGTTGAAGCTGGTAATCAACCGATGAAAAAAAAAAAAAGTCATGTGAAAACAAGGTGTGCACAAACTCTGGAGTGCTTACAGTAATGCCACTGTTTGTCAGTCCTAGGTGGTGGTACTACCCGAGTGGCAAGGAGAACTCAAAGAAAAATGCTAATCAATCTTGGCACAACGCTGGTCTACATGGAGGAGGCATCTCGGGAAGAATGTTGCAGGCCATTAGTGACCTGAAAACGAGCTTCATCAGATATGCCATACTGCTCCAATGGATCCTGCGGGGATGGTAAAGTAGTAGGCATGTGCTCAGGATATATCAGACGTAACAGACATATATCCTAAGTGATATTTTGGCTGATCTAGCATGCACAATTTGGTGAAATTCTATGAACGGTAGTAGATATTCAGGTAAATGATGACAGCATGTATATAGAAAATTAAATTACTTTGCCAGTAAGCCTGTGGATCTCAGTTCTGTAGAAGATGAGGTTCCTTCTCATGAATTCATAGCTGCAGGAGAGACAAGATGTTGTTTTCTTCTTAAAAAAACAAACAAAAAAAAACCCCAACAAAAAATGCAGTTCTGAGAAAAAAATGTAGTTCAATCTTAACTCCTGTGTCACTGACCACTTATCCCCTTTGATCTTTGCTTATCCCGACTGTTAAATTTAACAGCGTGAAAACACACAACAGAAGAAACATCTGTGACGTGAAGCTTTATATCAACTCCATATTTAAGATGACACTATATTTACCTTATATTTATCTCGTCATTAATTTTGTGTCCAGAGGAAGCACTCTCACCTTGCCTTGATGATGGAGTCTATCCATTTCTCACACTGCTCCTCAGAGTCGCACTCAAAAAGATATTTCCTCTCTGCATCTTCGAGAAACGCTGCAAATATAAAATAGAGCTTCTACAGATGGACTGACACGTACATAGTGTAGTGACTCCCAAATAACCATTGTGAGTGAGAGATTATTAGAATATTATTCTGTAATTATTACAATCACCAAGACTATATATAATATTCCATTGGCGTGAAAATAAATGTGATGTTTGTGTCTGTGCTTTGTGATTGGCAGGCGGCCAGCCAAGGGTGAAGCCCGCCTCTCGCCCAAGGTCATCTGGAAAACCCGCCAGCTCACCAGTGACCCAAACAATTTTACAGTAATGGGAAACAGTGCATAACAGGCAGACATTAAAATGTCAAATGATTACCACTCACCAACGGAGAAGGTCAGGTTGTCCTCCTTCTCCACCCGACACTGCTCCAGCAGCAAAGCTCCAACAGGCTAACAAAGTAATTTAGAGTCATTCGCCCATTTAAACAGTTAATGAATGTACAATACAAGACCATAGTACTGTAGTTACACTCACTTCTTCTTCGTCAGTCTTAAAATAAAAGAGGAAGTTGACAACGAGTTTCACTAGCCTCCTCTTCACAACTGTAACATAAAAGGAACCAAGGTAAACCTCGCAAACCGGAAAGTGTCTTGTGGCTAATGCTGCGAGGCTAGCATGAGCGGTCAGCAGTTGGAAACGACCAAATACTCGAAGAGATTACCGTCTCCCTTCTTCGGTCCTCGCATCCCAAGCTCGGCGACCATTTCTGAAGGTTGTCGGCTCAAATGCACCATCTCTTTCTCGTTGAAACGCATCACTGATAGTAAAAGTTTCACCTCGGCACGACCGCTGGACACACTAGGTACGATCACGGCAATTTCCCATCATGAAAACTCAACCGCGTTATTTAACAAACGTCGTCAGAAACACTGACTGGTGTTGTTAAATAAGTTTCTGCATCTCAATATTTTGTTTGCTGGATAAGACAAAGTGAAACTTCTTCAAGAACAGCAAAAGTGTCTATTCGCCTTCAAAGAACACGCAGCAGGACCACTCCTCTTGACTCGTTGTACGGAAGCCAGAAAGGGTCGAAGTAAGCGAAACGACAGAAAAATACTGTACATGATCATGTAAAATACCTGTATGGCACCATCCATAAAGGTTTGTGGTCGGTGGACGAGAGTACTGTTACCACAGTAGAAAACACTGATCTTTAAGATAACATATTCAAAATAAAAAGAGAAAATAAATAAATAAAGGGTTTTCATTAATTAAAAGGCAGCTGTGTTCAGCAAAGTTTTCAGCCAAAATATAAATATGCTTAAAATTTGCCCAGATCTCAGTTACTGTGGATGTTTGGTTCACGGTTTGGGGGACGTATAACCTAATTCTGATGTACTTTGTTTTTTACTGGTTCCGGTAGTCCGATGAAACTTGGATTAATATTTTAGTCCGACCTGTGAAGGTTACATTCAATACAGAAAATGAGGGAATTAAACAAATTGTAACGATAGAAGATACAGTACGTGATTACAGATATGTTTTTGACAAGAAGTGTTAAGAAGATTGAGTCGTGTGTTTTCGGCGGTTTATAATAAAGAAGCATTCGAAATTCAAATTGTTTATGCGCCTTCCGATCGTTAAGTGGCGCTAGTAAAAATATTGAATCAAGTGGTCACTGGTCGCAAAGAAGAATAAACGATATGCGCATGCTCACTGACTGCATTCACTGTGAGCGTGATCCTTGCGTTGTATTGTTGGTGAGTGTTTTTTTTTCTAAATAAGCAGTACATACGATATGAAATACGTATTAATAGCACAGGTAATTGGATTTTATATCTGTTATTGTAGTGCAGTAAATATATTTTTATGTTGTTGTGATTCGATGGTCGTTTGAGGTATGGGGTTGTTCGGAGGAAGCTAACCGTGTTCCTTAGCTTTAGCTTTGCCAGTCTCCGTTCAGTAGTCACCGGTAAAGTCACATAACTATCAAGAAAAAAAGTCGGCTTGCCCCTAATAACTTAAAGTGTGTGTTTTCGGTTCGAAAATGTAACTTAAAAATCAATATAACTGCCCACTTGATTGAAAAAAAAATCGAAATATGTCCTAATCTAAACATGATGTACCGCAATCCCGCTCATTTGCGGTTCGGTGTTCGCCAAATCACTCATTGTTGGAACGTACTCACCGTTGTTTGCTGTGGCACTGTATTTGTATTTTTTGTAAGTCGCTAATATCCAACAAGGTGGCGTCAAAGCACTCTCTGAATCGGAATTGGGCTCATGGAAGTATGTTGGGGGTTTGCACTTTCGTGAAGGGCTCAGTCCCATCTTCTGATTACTTTATTTCGTGTAGTCTCTAAATTAACATTTTCAATAGTCTAAATGTTAGTCAACAAACAGTACATCTGCTTCTGCTTATAAAATTGTAACTTGAACTGTGTATTTCCGCTGCTAGGTAACCAAGACAGGAAGGAGAAAAAGTAGTAGCTGTCCAGTGTTGGATCAACTGGGCGTTTGCCTGAGAGCATCTTCGTGTCTTGATCAATCACCTTGCAAAAATGGATTTCCAACATCGAGCTGGAGGGAAGACGGGAAGTGGAGGGGTGGCGTCCTCCTCGGAGAGTAATCGGGACAGACGAGAGCGGTTGCGCCAGCTGGCTCTGGAGACCATTGACATCAACAAAGATCCCTACTTTATGAAGAATCATTTAGGATCATATGAGTGCAAACTTTGCCTGACGCTTCACAACAACGAGGTCACAATTTGAATACGTACATGTGAAGTCTTTGTGGTTCAAGTGCAATATTAACGACATGCTCTTGGTCATTATAGGGCAGCTACTTAGCACATACACAAGGAAAGAAACATCAGACTAATTTGTAAGTACCACGTCATCTTTGAACTGTGTGCAATGGCTGGCCCATCACCAATGTCCAATTTGTTTTCAAATCGTTAAGACCTTAGTTTTTTTTTTTTTTTTTTTTTTTTGTCAGAGCGCGGCGAGCTGCCAAAGAGGCCAAAGAAGCTCCTGCTCAGCCGGCACCAGCAAAAGTAAAGGTCGAGGTCAAGAAGTTTGTGAAAATTGGTCGGCCCGGATATAAAGGTAGGGTATGGCCGTATGATTAGAAACTGCTCACAAAATGTTGGGGGAGTTGGGTTTTCTGTGGAAATTTAATAATTCATGAAAAATAAGCAATCTTTACAGGTGAACTTAATTTGATCAGGAATTTGTGCAAACTCAAACATGGACATGCGCATTCAAAAGTTGAGAGATGGTCCAATGAAGTTCACATGGAATGTTTATAGTGCATTTGGAGCCAGATCCTAAAATTTGAATTTAAAACAAAACATCCCCAACTTTTTATGAGTATGTATTAGTGCACTAATGTCATGTTTCTTCTCAGTAACCAAGCAGAGGGATCCGGAGACTGGGCAGCAGTCTTTACTTTTCCAGGTTGGTGTAAATTGCAATAAAATGAAACTGTTGAAACTGTAACACAAATGAGTGAAGAAGCTAAGGTGGATTTCTGCGACCTTCAGATTGACTACCCGGAAGTAGCGGAAGGTATTGGACCCAGACACCGTTTCATGTCTGCATACGAACAGCGCATCGAGCCCCCGGACCGCCGTTGGCAGTACCTGTTGCTCGCTGCGGAACCTTATGAGACTATTGCTTTTAAGGTGACTGCTGGCGCCTAATTTTCTTTCCTTTTTTTCTTTTTGATGTGTCATGATGTTAACACCTCGGCTCTTTTAGGTCCCCAGTAGAGAAATCGACAAAGCAGAGAGCCGCTTCTGGACACACTGGAACCGAGAAACAAAACAGGTGCCAGTTAGAAAATCAAGAGTCTTTGATAACTGAAAAAGCGTGTGGTCTAAATGTTTTATTCCTCCCCTCAGTTCTTCCTTCAGTTCCACTTTAAAATGGAAAAAGCTCTCCTACCACCGACTGGTCCACCGCCTCCTGCTGCTATGAAGCGTCCTCCCCCTCTTATGAGTGCACCTCGCCCACAAAACGAGTCCATGCCTCCACCTCCGGGTGGGATGATCCTTCCCCCGGGTGCCCCCGGTACCCCTCAAATGCCCCCTCAAATGCCCATGCCACCAATGCCAATGAGGCCACCACCCCCCGAGGCCCTTACAGTGGCTAACAATTAATCGTGTTCAAGTTACACAACCAACTCATTTTTAAGATTTTGTAAATAAATGCTCTTAAAAAAATAATAAAAAATTGGGGTCTGTATGTCTTCTCTTCCAACACTACGGCACATGTGAAGATATAACAGGTAATGATATCATTGGGGAAACCTGCACCATAACACTGCAGATCTCTTGGGTAGATTTTGCCTCGAAGTTGATAATAACAAATCTCAGAGGTCAGTTACTGTGATGAATTTTCTGAAGAAAATGTGTTGTAAAGCTGAAAGTGGCAACTTGTATGACTACGTGCTCAACTGTTATGTCCAATTTTCATGATCTTTTAGCCTCTAAAAAGTTGGACATCCACTGTGATGTATCCTAAATTGTTCATGATCAATGTTGTGATGCATTTGTGCTATTAAGGGGGGAAAAAAATCTCTGAGCCACCTCATGTTCAACAAAAAGTTTTCACAACGGTAGTGGCACATTGGTTAGTTTTATTTAAATTTGTTCTTTTGACAGATGTGGATGTAAAGAGCAAGGTGGTGCTCTCTTGCCGTACTAACGCTAACAAGCAAGTTGTATCAAGCGCTGCAAAAGCGGTGAGAAATTGTGTGTACCGAGGAAAGGAAATCATCCTTTATGACTCTTTTTCTTCTTTTCCTTCTCCATATCTGCGTCGAATACCGCCTCCTCCTTTTCCACTTTTTGCTCATCTGCTTCATCAGATGTCTTCAGCATATCCTTCTCCTTCTCCTTCTTGTCCTTTGCCTTTTGCTTTTGGACTTTCTTGGCCCTCCTGGCCTCTAATGTCCCTTTGCTCTGCTTCATGAGTTTTTTGTCTGGCATTGGCTTGTTTCTGAGACCACTCTTCGTCCTTTTTTTGTCGTCGTCTTCGTCATCGTCATCAAGGTCCGGCAGCCACCAAAACAAAACTTCCCACAGGGTTGTCTCGGGCTAAAAACATGAAGTGAGTGTTTTAGTATTTGATGGCACAAAGGGGGTGGGCTTAATTCACTTGTCACCATTATACAAAGCATCGGTACTGTACAAAGATGCAATATTGGAGCATGTAACTGCGTCACTTCCATCATTAGGAGCAGTTCAGAATAAATATTGATCTCATAACATGAAAAACACATTTAAAAGCTCACCGCAGACGTTGATTATTAAATGTCTGGATGTGAGCCGATTGCTAATGTTGTGTTTTATTTGCAGTTTTGCTCTGACCAACCAAATGGGCCAGCTGCCCTCTTTTGGCATCTTGGTACAAAGGAACTACGTTGAAATGATTTGAGGGGCTTTGTTTAGTGATTTGCCACCGTTGTAAGTCATCCATTTATTGTTTCGGAGCGTCAACTACGTGTGGATTTTTTTTTACTCTTCTTGACCGATACTGAAGGCTATGGACAAATTAGATTGACGTGGTATCAGACAGAGGCTAAACTCTTTCATTTCATTGAACAAATACTTCAGTGGTTGTTGAGACATGTAGTTTAGTGTTTCTGGCATTCTGACAGTGTTTAGTTAGTCTGAAAAGACTTTATTTCATTTCACCTGCGGTGGTTTGCCTCTGTGTCGTAACGTGTTTGGTTGCCTCCCGGTCAATTCGATCTCTTGCTCCTCCTCTGCTATCCTCTGACCACGCAGGGTCTCTGTTACATTGAAAAGACAGCACTCGGTCACAGCTGGCAT